TCCCAATTATCTTCTCTGCTGCCCTTACTACCCTTTGCACAGACTTTCTATCTGAGGCGCTACAGCCCCCAAATCAGATAGAAATACAATTCGTATGTACACTCTCTATAGTGCCTCTATAGAAAGTAAGGAGAATGGAAGATGGGAGATGTACTTTCCTTGGGCACAAAAAATGCAAACGTTGCTGTGCTTGTTTTACCAAATGATAGGGGAGCTTGGGGGTAACTCAATTAATCTGAGGCCTCCCCTATCACTGGAGTCTGGAAGAGAGAGGGTTAAGTTGAGGCTGTATTTTCCGTCCAATCGGGTATTCCTAAGGATGGTCCTCAAAGTCAAGATGGCGGCCACGACGATACAATTCAGCTACATACGGTGCACATAAAAACCAGACAGCATTGATCGCATCATTGTGGCTGCCATCTTGACATTTTTTACCATATCCTATGGACCTTCCTGCTTTCAGAACAGAGGTGAAGGCCTAGAGAAGCCCAGAACAAATTAGGTTCCTTCATCCTCTCAATTTCTCCTTCCATTGTACTTTCACTGACTCACAAATACACGTGGGGCTAAACAAGCAAACCACAAGCTGCAATCTCATTCAGTCAACCACATTCATTTCCATGTTAAAACAAAGGAAGGAAGGAAACCAGCTAATCGCTGCAAAGGAGAAAGGGAGCACTCCCTAGCAAACCATGATAGTCTGCAAGGTCATCTGGCTTTGAATCAGTGGTTATGAAAGTAAGCCATGAGTCTTGCCAGAGGTAAGGGATTGTCTTATGTGAATGCCATAGGCATAAGGCAGCCTTCCTTGATTGTACACCCTCCATATATGTTGGGGGTTCAATGCCCCGTTGATCACATGGTCCCCATCCATCTACAGCACTGCCCATTGAGAGAAGACTGCAGTAAGAGTTTAACTAACAGGCCAAGATGGTGGACATTCCTTCCTCATTGCAGTCAACTCAATATGATCATCTTTCGTTTCTTGAAATGGTGCTCAAGAATCGATCTCTCATTTCTGCTTGCCCAGAATCTTTGGATTGGATGTTCTAAAAGGGAAGGGAAAGTGAATAAAAGCAGTTTGTTAATACATAGTTTGGCCACAGGGGAAGTACATTGAAACTGACAAATATTTGTGAGCATAGTTGGAATTCTTCTACTAAAGAAAAGTTTCTATGCAAGTCAAAACAGAGTTTGTTATCAGAGACTTCTTGTTATTTATTTATTTTCCTCCTCTTGAATGTATTGGCGTGCTAAGATTGCAGCGGGCCTTTTTAGTTATTTCAGATATTTGTAACCCTGTCGACACCAAGGTGGCCTTGTCTGGGCTCAGAAGCTAAGCAGGATCAGGACTGGATAATGCTTAGATGGGAGACCTCCAGGGCTGTAGGCTAGGTTGGGAAATGGAAAAGCCATCTCTGTAGAAACCAGGAGCTAGCCATTATTCTGTTGCTAATAAAACCTGATGTGTCCACAAAGTTAGCAGGACTTGAGCCTTGACTTAAAGGAGATGTTACCCAACCTAATTCAAGCAAAACTAAGCTTTTATCTCATTATTTCATTTCTAAATGCTAGTAGTTGATAGCCCAATAAACAAGGATCTTATGGCACTGAAAGCTTTTGTGGATCGTAGCCATTTAATCAGACACAGGTAAGAGTTATAATTAAAGAAGTTGGATGTGTTATCTTTTACCATTAAAAAAAACTCCCAATATGCTACAACAGCCAAATTGTGCTTCCAATAACATAACTCGGATCAGGAATGCTTCTAAACCATGATGTTCCGTTATCAAAAAGAGTGAAAACCCTGCTTTCTGAAACAGCATTCCATCTTGTTTGAAACAAAAACATTCTAAAAAAAAAGCTGTTTCTTAAAATCTCCCTTATGAGAGGATTCATGAATCTAATTTGCACTTTAGGCTCCAATTGGATCCCAAACAGTTGAAAGAAATGGAGGCAAATGGTTTTGCATTCAAGAAATGCCACCACATACTGGATGTAAATTCCAGTAGCCCCGGGAGGCTGAATCCCTACAAACAATGGAAAATGTCATCCCCAAATGGTGGAAAAAAAGGTTGTTTGCTCCTGGTATACAGCTGAGACAAGACAGGTTGCAAATTAACTGTTTAAAAACCAGTTCTGCTGGGGCATCTAAGCATACTTACTTGAAGGTAAATTCTATTGAATGAACTGAGATTCAGGTCTAAGGACAAGGCTTCACGTTTCACAGAGTCTTTGGATTTTGGTGCCTCAAGTTTCAGAGTTTTATCCATATGCCCTCATAAGATGGTAACCAGAATTTGCACAAAGATGGAAAGATTTGGCAGTACCTACAACGGAGTTGTAGCCATGTTCATCTCTCTCACTGGGCTACCCCACAGAAATTTGATTCATTGAAAAAAATGATCACGGGACAATGTTACTATGAGCAAAAACCTTGAGATGATAATACTTGTAAGGAAATGGTGCTACTCTGATGTGAAGCCTCATCAGAATTTTCTTGATGGGCCAATTGAAGAATAACTGTCAGCTAAATAAATCTAACACACGTGTTATGTTCTCTGTTGGTTTTTAATCTGTTTAGTGCCTAAAGTCACTAAGGTGAACTGGGTAGCTATATAAATTAGTTAACAAATAAATAAATAACTCTCCACTGCTTAGGGACCAAGTTCATCTCTGGGTAAGTGTGTCCTGCAAGCCTGGAGCAGGTGCTGTTATAAGTTTGCAAATGGAGAGTTCTCAAACAATCAATCAGTAAAAAAAAAAAGTAATAGAAAAGTGGATAGTTGTAAAAGGAGAGATGGAAACAGCCAACCCACTCAAAAGAAGGGACCAAGTAGTCCACTGCAAAGGCTGGAAATGAGAAAGATATGCAGGAGGGATGGTCTGTCTGTATAAGGTGTGTTCTTTAATCACAGTGGTAGCTGAAAGTCTCTGGTTATGGCTTTGTAAGTTCATATAGATACTACTTATCAGAAGTTTTGGGGGTTTCTGTGAGCTTAACTAAGTAGCACAGTTCTGGCTGTGGGGTGAAGCCTTGACATCAACAGTGCTGTTTCTTAAGCAGCTTAGCATGTTGTGTGAACATGTGACAGGCTTTAGTTTGCCTTACTGTTGTCTTTGCAGAGAACTGACATTTATGTTGCCGTAGGAAGACTCAAAGAGAGCAAAAAGCTGCCTTCTTTGCTTGGGGGAACAAAAAGGAGCTTCCATCGTGGTCTGACGTGGCGCAAACCAAGCCAACCATATCAGGAGGAACTGTTGGACTAGATGATAGTCTCAGTTTAATTTTTCCCCCCGAGGGAATAAACGCCCAGGATCTGTTGATAATGCTATGCAGATTACTTTTATCTCACCATCAGAGGCTCTGTGGTGTGTATACATGGAAAAAGTCAGTATAAGATCCAAAGCCTAGCATCCGGAAAACCTGAAAAAGTCTTCTACCTAAAATCCTTCCAGTAGAGCTCTATCTCAAAGAACCCTTCAAACTCAAGTAATGGTTTGGATGTTTTACTTAAGAAGTGAGCATAACCACGTAGGAGCATGTAGCATTAGAGAGTTTCTGGAAAGTAATCCTTCTACAACAGTGTTTTTCAAACTTAGCAACTCTAAGATGTGTGGACTTCAACCCCCAGAATTCCCTAGCCAGCACTGTTCTACAGTAAGAACCAATACACCCCTCTCAGTTTTTACTCAGGGCACTCAACAAAACCAGGCCTTCATTACTCTTCTCTTCCATACACTCAAGTGGGAGAAGATGTGCCTTGAGGACCTGTAGAAACTGCATGTGGTAATACTACAAGACAAAGCCCATGTTCACTCAACACACTTAATATGTAATTAGCCACTAAATCTCTGCCATTATTTTTGGGTCTGCACGACATCTGAGATCATAAACTTGCCACCCCAGCTAGTGGGTCTGCAGAACAGGACAAGCTAAAATGTGGTTCGTGGTATCCCTCAAGCAAAGCCCAAGCATCCTTTCCGTATCTGCTCTTTTGCATTTTCAAACTTGGTTCTGCAACTTTTAATGACTAACACAAATGCTTCCTTCAGGCAACCGTATCATTTATCTCCATTCTGTAAAGGAAGAAACATAGCCAGGGCATTTAAGTTATTTATCTATAGTCATATCCACTCAATGAGTCGGAATGGTCTGTTGAGGTCATCCCTTTGGGTCTCCACACAATTATTCTTCAAAATAAAGACGAAAACAACACACAGGCCTTGGAATATTCACTCAGCATTTTAACTGCGTAAGCATCCTCAAGAGAAATGACCACATCTTTGGAACTGAACAGGAAGTGCTGCTGATTCCCTATTTCCAAGAGTTTCACTTTAGCATTGCGTTATTTGACACAGTCAGCATGTGGTTTCAGCATTCTTAGCTTATTCTTCTGAGTTAGTTAGCTATAGTTTATTACAATCGTAGACTATTGTTACAATTATAAAGTAAGCATTCAAACTGGGCAAATTTATGAACATTTTTGACTTTGTGATAATATAACATAATATGTTATGAGTTCAAGTCTTATCCTACATATTGTTTTTATCTATGGAAAGTTTAACATGCTTTTCATGTGGCGAGAAGGGGATAAAGTTAAAGGCCGCCCTTAAACATGGGTAATGTTGGGCCTCTTTCTCAGCCCAACTTGAGAGCTAACCGGAAAAGAAACTCCCATGTAAATTGCTTGGAGTTCCTGAAGAAACAGAGGGTTAGTAGTAATGGTGGTGGTGATGATTTTGAATGAGGTATATAAAAACATGCTTAACTATTTAATTCAAATTGATGCAATATGAGGACGTTCCTGACATAGAAGTACACTTTATTAAATTCAGTAGGGTTTGCTATCAAATTATTATCTACAGCAGTGTTTCTCAACCAGGGAGTTGAAAGCCACACATCTTAAAGTTGCCAAGGTTGAGAAACACTGGTCTACAGCATCACAGCACAACATTTAGGGTTTGTTCAAAGTATACATTAAAACTTTATGTTCAGAAGAATTTGCACATTTGCACAATGCTAAAATGTGGTTGGCTAGTCAATGGGACAGTTGTTATGTGAAACCAGCTAGTATATTTATTGTTCAATGTAATATGTGAACTTAGACTATGTATGGCTATGTCTAGAATATTGGGCAAACACAGCATTTTTGAAGAGGGCTACTGGATGACTTACCTTCTTACCAGACATGGTTTACCCTCTTCTTACAGGGAAGGGACAAATATATTATTTTGCTTTCCACCCCAAACTCAACATGTAATACATCATGCAAAGATTTCATATATGAGGCTGATTTTCATGCCAGAGAGAGGGAATAACAAAGCATTTGAAATTATTTCTCCAAAGAAGCAGGCTGATTCCTCCAAGATAGAAAATAATTCAAATGTCAGCTCCAAGATGTTCAGGCAAGACCATCTTAGAAAAGCCTATGAAAGAGAAATGCTGGGAACACGTAGACTGGATTTCTCTCGCACTACCACTGAGCTCTACATGTGTCTTGTGCAATTTGAGAACACTAGCCCTATTTGCTCCTGCATATGTCTAACTTTGCCACTTTGAAAATGTGCATGAGAAATGAGTTCCTTCTATCTCTTCCTGAACCGCAGATCTTATCAGTCTTGATAGTTTGCTATGCTTCCAAGTTTCCAAGCATCCTTCTGAGATCTGATGGCACATTTGGAAGACATCATCCATTCCTGCTTTAAAGTTAGCAATGAGAAAGATACTTGTCTTTCTAAAATGTTCAACAAAATCTAGCAGGCCTAGGACTGTTCCTACAACCATACATACAGTTCTTTTCCCCTGAAGTATTTACGTATAAGCCCTTTTAAGTTGAAGCAGCTAGCTGACCATGGCTGATCTCAGAAAGCTAAATAGGGTCAGCCCCACTTAGTGTTTTGATAGGAGATTATGAGGATTTTCCTATACCAGACTGGGCAGTTGAAAAACACCCTAGAAGAAGACAATAGCAAAGCATATCTTCATTGCTGCCAAGACAACTAGACTTAAGCGTCCATGAAGTCACTAGGAGTCAAGGTCAACTTAAGGACAGAGATATCTCTGTATTCACATACAGTGTATTTACTGTATATGTGGAAACAAAGATAAAGTATTATTATCAGTAAAATATTAAACAGCCAATTTATAAAACCATGAAAACGATAGCACAAAACACACCAAAAATTATTTTCCATTACAAAACATTCTCTTCCTAGGTTCCCCACTGCAAAAAAAGTTCACTTAACCAGAACTTACCAAGAAACAAGCTTCATTTAGTGACTTTTGACTGTCTGCATCAAGTTTTAAATAAGGAACACGATTTCACAAATTGCGTGTTTATCTGTAGCGCAAAAGACTTTGAAACACGGAAGCCATAAGTTGTTCAGACAGGGAAAAAAATACAGAGAGATGGAGGGAATGTTTGTTCAAGACAAACAGTCTGCCTGTTAACATTTCTTTATAATGGTGTTATCATCTAAGAGAGGCAAGAATTGGTATGGCAGGAATGAGGGAAATTGCAGGACCAATGTGGCTGGAAAACATTCCAGCAAAGAACTCAATCAAACGATTAATTCATCAAGACAGCATAATCAACAAGGAATACCTTTTGCAGAAAATGTAATAGTTTGCCTTCAATAGCCTTCTTTCCTCTGTGTTTGAGACAGGTTCATTGATCGTAAAGGTGAAATGAGAATGATCAGCTCCGCTCATATTAAATCGTTTCAGTTAATTAATTAGTTTTCAATTATTCTAAGTTACCATTTTGAGTCTTTTGACTGTAATCAATCTCTTACTTTCTATGTTACTTTCCCCACTACCCCACATTTTCATATACTTCTGAAGTCTTCTGAAGTCTTACTATACACAGATTCGTCACCTACTGCAGCTGTCATTGAGATCCTATCGTTGTTCCACCAGCTGGGACCATCACTTTGGTGTGGGGAAGGGAGTTAATCTTGCAAGTAAAACCTTATCTGGAAAGTCTGGGACTCCTGCTGAAACACTAGCAGCAAAGCATCTCACCAAACACATCCAGACAAGCATTGATTTAGGCCACAGTGGGAGGGAACAAGCTAAGAGATGTCTTCCATGCCATAATGTCAAGAGCTATTACTGTCCTGTGACAACAGCACGGGAGAAGTTTGGTATGGCTCTAACACCTTCTCAAAAGAGACCCACTTTCTCACCTCGCTTCCCCCCACAAACCTCAGTCCAGAAGAGCTGGCTCAATTGTTCCTCTTGCTACTGCTTTTTCAACCTTTCAAGCTACATTTTTAAGGATGGTGGATGAGCTCTTGATCCAATCCAGGCAACACACAGACAGAGCAGACAGCAGCCAACTACTTTTGGATTTGTTTTTAACATTACAGCATAGTTGTCATTTGCTGTGAATTACAGTTTCAATAAATGGTAGGCAGAACGCTTCCAGACAATGAAATAGTTAAAAAGCAAGCATATGGATGGGCATCCAGTCATCTTAGCCGCTGCACCAGAAAAGAAAGTGTAAGGTTTATGTTTTCCTTTCTAAATACTGTTCGCTGAGCACAGACAGCAGTTCTTACAAAATGAAAAGTTCTTCCCAGTACTTTCCACCTTTGAAGATTCTCAAGGTTCAGTTAGAACTGACTTTCTGGATCTACACTCAGGAAAAAGTATGCAGATATTGAAAGTATTTCAAGGACTATTGAAAAATATGCCTCTGGTTCAAGATTCAGCATTGCAAACTCTGCTGTTCTGATATTGGGCAATGCTTCTGTAATGACTGGCAAACACAATGCAGTTCTGAAACCTCTACAGAAAAAAAAAATCGTAGGAGCATATTTTGTGTTGACTGCATATGGAGTGTGGTGTAATGGTTAAGGAGCTGGACTAGAAGTGGGGAGACTCAGCTTCTAGTCCTCCCTTAGGCATGGAAGCCACCTGGGTGACCTTGGGGCAGTCACTCCCTCTCAGCCCAAGTCAGGGTCAGGTTCTCCGACAAGCTGGCTGAAAAACAAGAGCTCTTGCATAGCTTCACAGTAGGAACTCGGCGAATGCAATGTAAAACAAGCATATCCTGCAAGGATAAACACTGAGAAAAACAAACCACTCATATGCTGTTTAACAACACAATGTGGGAAAAAATTCTCTGCTATAATGACACCATTTCCTGGTGGATTTCTATTATCATTTTGAAAAAAAGTACCAAACAAAGGAAACTGCTCGGAGATGTTTTATTTTGTAATGAAGACCCTTGACTTCAACCTTTTCTGCTCCATTTTTTGTATAACTTTTATTCTTTTATAAATTGTATGTACTTTAACTGGCCTGATGAATTGCCTTGGGAGCACTGATAAGAGCCACGCCATGGGGAATAGTTAATTTACATATAAAAAACAAAATACACAGAAAAACAGCTGTTTGGAGCTATCTCTCTCTCCACTGAGGGTACAGCTAGCCCTGACAACATTCTTGATTTAGGATGCCCAAGATGGCCATCTGCTTATATTTTCAGGCTAACACTGGAAATATCCACATTAATGTACCTTTCCGTTATTTCATCTCACCAGAGTCTAAAGAAGCCTTACATAAGAATTGCCAGACTTTGGACCTACCTGCACAATAGGTGACAACTAAGGTCAGTTCATATGCAAACAGACACAAATTAGAACGGTTGTAGGTAAATATTAGATTAGGTTAGACAACAAGGATCTGCTTTTACTACTCATAGAGGAGTCTCAGTGTAATCAGAATGACTAAAACAAGTCTATTCAACCATGTGTGTCATAATTGGCTTGGAAGGTCAACCGATCTTCCTAATAGACATGGTGAGGGCCACCAACTTGTGTAGATTTAAAAGAAGCCTGAATAAAATAATAGAGGGCAGGCGTATTGAAGGCTTTTAGTCTTGAAGTCTCCATGTCACCTTCAGATTGGGACACCATGCTCCAAATAGCAGGTGTGAGGAAACAACAGTGGGAGAAGAGTATTCTCTGTCTTCTGCTTCTGAGTATCCCAGAGGTATCTAGTTAACTACTTTGAGAAACAAACTGAAGGATTAAGATGGGCTTAGATTATTACATTCTGATGGTGTTCAAGCTGGGTTGTCACTTGACTCTTCAGATTTGCTAATCTGAAGCACAGAAGGCCTTCTTTCCTGTCAGGCAAAGATAGGCAACCGACAACCTTTGTGTCTCATGCAGTTCTTGGCCTAAGTTCAAAATCCCTCTGTAAGCAAACAAGTCATGATCCCTGATAAGAATAATCAACCAGATGCCTTCCTGGTTGACTGCAGAGACAGAATGTCAGAGAAAGAAAGAGACAGAGATAAAAGAGAAAGAGAGATCAGATGGAGAAATTGCAACATGGTCCCACCCATTACTTGTTTCAGCCAAGATTGGGCTTCAGCAGATTTCTCCTGAGACATGTGATCCTGATAAAATAAATATAGCAGAGTCTTGTCCTAAGATCCACTTTGCCAGTGGTTTCAATGTGTAGTCCATTCATTTCATCTTTCACTGTGTTGACCTTTCCCCTGTTCATGCTTCCTATGTTCCACCCACATTCCACTGCCTTTGCAAGTGAATTTGCTTTTCTTGCATGGCAAGATCAGCAACTAGATATCCCAAAGACTTTAATTAAGCCTTCATAAACACTATTGATACACCAAATCAGTAGAGTGTGAAGTGCCATCTGAGCTGAAGGGCCCATCATCTGGCATGATATCCATCACTTTATATTGTCTATCCATGTGCTTTTCTTGATAAAATACTGGAGTGGTTTCCCATTGCCTTCTCCCAAGCAGTATGAAATTATGCTTTTGCCACTATCACTAAAATGATCATCCACCTCTAATATCATTCTGTATCACTACTGCCTAATATATGTACCTACTTGCTTTCGCTAAACAACTGGGATGACATTCATGCCCTAGGTGACCCTGCTGGGAGCATATACACTTGGCATACATTCCTGGAATTCTCCACTCTTCCCTCCTAAGAACCCACCACCCCACTATGGTAAGGCAGCATAGCAGGACTTGAGGGAGATTTATACGGCTACTAGTCAGGATATGTGACTCAGCTCAGGTCCAATATCAACTTAGAATTTATCTGGCTTCTAATTCTGTTCCTCATAAGCATTTCCAAGAACTCTTGCTAAGTATCACAATACTATGCTCTTTTTTTTTTTTTAAATAACTCAGATCTGGGAAATCTGACTATAGTCAGTATCATCCAAGTATCTGTGGCCAGCTAGGAAGTAAAATCATTTATGTTTCTCCTGCTCTGAATTAAGATAATGAAAAATGATGCATTTCAATTTGTTTCCTTTTTTTCCTCTGAATCTATTTCTCCACAACACAATATTTTTGCCAGTATTATTTTTCTTAATTGAACTCATAAAGAATGTATATGCATATCCATCACACTTTTGGGACAAGCACCATTATGTGTAGAATAGAGTCAAATGTTGTGGGCAAAATAAATTAAAGGCAAGAAAGAGAAGAGAAGAGAAGAGAAGAGAAGAGAAGAGAAGAGAAGAGAAGAGAAGAGAAGAGAAGAGAAGAGAAGAGAAGAGAAG